AAAAAACGAATGGTAACTAAAAGTGTATTGCAAGCTGATCGCTTATGCTTGGATCCGTCCATCACTGCCTTCCCCCCCCCCCTCATTGGTCTATTCCTGTTACCGTATCTAATCCAAACATTAACCCACTGAATATCATTGAAACCCATATTTACAACAGCAATTGGCGAACCTTATGGGACAGAAGCGCCTGTTTGAAGGTGTTTTGCACGAATGGACTAGACAAACTACTATGGCAGTAAACGACATGTACCATCTATTAATGTAACACTCGATTTCAAAAGGGCCTGCCCAGATATTCGTGAATTTACGGTGCCTGGAACCTCATGCGAGCTAGGTGCAGCGCGCTGGTCATTGACCGTTGTCTTGGCAAGCTTACCTCAAATGTGACATCACCACCATGCGTTCAAGTGCTCGCCGTCCCTGTTGAAAAGTGAGGTGTTTGTAAGGCTGTCAGAGTCCGCGATCCGTCGCAGGTTTCGCTGATTTTCGCGATTTTCGCGCGATTCACGCGATTCACGCGACGGGTCACGGAAATCACAAGTGCCCGATCAATACTGCAAGGTGTTCTCCAATCCTGCCGCCACTTCTGCTTGATAGTGATGGCTGAATGACGACTGCTCATGATTCCACTTGTTTCATATTCAGTGTTTCAAATGTTCACACACTTGCAATTGCGATCCGTCGCAGGTTTCGCGCAAATCGCGTGAATCGCGCAATCGCGTGAATCGCGAAAATCGCGAAAATCGCGAAAATCAGCGAAACCTGCGACGGATCGCGGACTCTGACACCAGCCTAAAGGAGCGTTGCTCTCTTGCCGTTAACTACAGAAGTTATCGTATTTACTTATCCGCCTACGTTCAAGTACCGAAAACCCTACATAGGAATTCTTGGATACTCTCTTTTTCTTCTTATCTGATATTATCTTGACATGCAGTTCACCAGATGTTTGTGGGGAGAAGCTCGCAAAATCAATGCAAAAGGAAGACTACCACGATGGCGGAATACGACATCAACTACCACCTGAGTGGTTCCACGCTAGAGCGCTACAGTTGGCCAAAAACTAGCCAGAGGAATACTACTTCAGTTGTTAGGCCTTTCCTGGCTAAGACACTTTAAAAGGGAAGTGCAGCTACCGGTGACTGTATAAATCTGCTAAGCTGGTTACAACAGTGTCATCGCAATTTACCAATCGACTCGTTTGGACTGTGCTTACTCAGCAGTCATTCATGTATGCCTGTTGACTACAGCTCCCCCAATATGCAACTCCTATCTTCAAAAATGGATATGAATAGTAAAACTAATATAATATAAATACAAGGTATATTTATATCGGCTGTTTCTTTCGGCAATTGTTGCATGAGGTTGGAATATCGATGTTGAAAGAAATCACCACTGAGGTAATATCTTCCAAAGAAACGTAGAGAACTGATTACAAGTACGATCATGTTCGCCGTGGCGAAGTTTCGAAATTTCAATTTTTGTGTTTCAAAGCTGGAAGTTCATTTCTCAACAATATAACAGTAGTTCATTTCGTGACATTGCGTTAAAATGAAGTTTTTCCATATCATTTTTTCGGGAAGATGTATCATTGTTCAGTTCATAGTTATTGATTGACCCGGCAGATTTGCCCTTATAGTGAAGCCATAATAGGAAAATGAACATTCAGGATCTAGTCAACATAAAAGAATAATGAATTCAGATCTGTTAACGGTTAAAGTATATAGTAGTTCGATACGTAATGCCTTGAATATATGTCATAGCGGGGTCTCTTCGGGTGTTAAGCCGTCTTATCTCTTCTTGTATGTCGTTATTGATTACAGGTGCGGTCACTGCAAAAAGCTGGCTCCCGAGTTTGACAAGGCAGCAACAAAACTGAAGGCGAATGATCCTCCCATCACCCTCATAAAGGTGAGTTGCGGCAGCTGACGTTTATCTGCTCCATGCATTAAGAATACGATTACCTTTCATTCAAATCTGAGTGGATGTTTATAGCACGAAGTGTGCCAATAAATTCGTGTAATTATCCATTCGGTAGACCAATTCGGAGGGAGTGTTCGGACCGGACGGAGATTAACATATAAAGAGGAGTCCCACTTATGAAGGATTAGGCTGCTCCAAGTCAAGGGTCGATAGCTCGTCAAGCGCGCTGTGTGAATTCAACACCTCAGGGATTGCAGTCGGCAATTGTAGTCGGCAAGGAGTTGCTGGAGGCGTTGCCCATTCAGAATTATTCAGAAGAGGAGGATTTCATGCATTTAACGTTTCCTGTAGACAGAGGGCATTCATCTTAGGAAGACCAAATTAGTTAGAAATAGTAGTACAGTAGAAATGGCTTACCCTCCGCCCGTCGTGGGACTAGTTCGTAGAGAGAGGTAATACGCAAAGTTGAAAGCTGGTGGGTTGTTGGTGTCTTACTGATCCTATTTGTGCCTCACGCTCATCAAGTGATATTGCTACTGCCGACTGATCATCTCTTCACATCTCAGCATTGCCTCCTGCATTTTGCCTTTGCTAGTTTTGCTGCTTTGCTTTCATTTGGTAACGACCAGTTTAGCATCTTTGGCTGAGGACGAGGATATGGGCCGGTCTTGTGGGCTCCAGAGTGTTTAGGACTCCTAGCATTTACTTGAACTGCTTTAGGTTGACTGTACTGTCGAGAAGGCCACTTGCGACAAATTCGGCGTGAAGGGATTCCCAACCTTGAAGATCTTCCGTAATGGATTAGAAGCTCAGTCATACGATGGACCTCGTGAAGCAGACGGCATCGTAAAATACATGCGCGGACAAGCGGGCCCTTCAGCTAAGGAACTCAAAACAGTGGAAGAGTTCAAGAAGTTTGTTGGAGGCGATGAAAACGCAGTTGTTGGTAAGTGTCTCAAGATTTCTTTTATTTTGTTTTAACGAAATTTTGTATTTGTTTATGACATTGCTTGTGCAGGTTTCTTCGAAAACGAAAGCAAACTGAAGGATTCCTTCCTCAAGGTTGCTGACACCGAAAGAGATCGGTTCCAATTCGGATATTCCTCAAATGCGGCTGTTCTGAAGGAGGCTGGCTACACTGAGTATGTTTGACTTTCTTTACTAAAGAGCTGATTTTAAATTACATTTATGTAAAGTAGATGAATTTAAAGCTGCTTCAGCAGCTCAGTAGATACCGTGACAATGTTTTTCATACATTGTACGTTGTAAGAATAACCAATTAATTTATTTGCATATATGCTACTGCGCAGTTGCTTATATACTGCACCGACTTTCAACATTAAATACTACACGAAAACAAACACTTGTAAACAATACTGTAATTCACTACATGTATTTTTAACACTTTAAACAAAACGTAATAGGC